TCTCTCTCTCTCTCTCTCTCTCTCTCTCTCTCTCTCTCTCTCTCTCTCTCTCTCTCTCTCTCTCTCTCTCTCTCTCTGGAAGTGACTCACAAAAGCGTCTGATATTATTTTCACTTTAGCCGAGGAGGAAAAAAAAAAAAAAATGAAAAGAGATTCTATTTATCCTGTGTACATCGCATTTAACGAAATAAACAACGAACAAAGAACAAATTTTTCGACCAAATTTTCATTTCTAAAGTAAAATGTTTAATTCGAGATAACAGAGTCACGTCCAAGAGACGTCCGTTAATTAATACTTATCCGCCTGTAATATTCGACCGTGCGTAGCCGTAATTCAATGTGCCCCCACTTAAACATTAAGACGATGATGTTCGTACCCTGTTTCAACGCCTAACGAGAAAAAAAAAAGAACACGAAAAAAGAAGTAATAATAATAATAATAATAATAATAATAATAATAATAATAATAATAAAGTAATAACGTTACCTGTAGCCAAATGTCCCGTGGACCATATAGACCGCCGCGATCTGTTCGTAACGCTATGTGCGAGAAAGGGCTAGAAAGCGTGTGATCGAGACGGGGCCAATTTTTCATTTGGCCTCCGGCTCGCGAGTGCGTATGAGAGAGCGCGTTTGCGTGAAAGGGAGAGAAGAAAAAAGAAGAAGAAGAAGAAGAAGAAAAACGAAAGAACGGGGCGAGCGAAAATATTTCGCGAAAAGCCTCGTCCAGATTGAAAAAAAGTCGAGGCGAAACGAAACGAAACGAAACGAAACGAAGAAAGAGGCGAGAGGAAAAAAAAAGGACGAAGAGAAGGGAAAAAAGAGGAGAAAGAGAGGACAAAGAGGCGTGGCGATTCTCAAGCCGTTTGTAAAGCTCGCAGCAACCTTGTGATAGAGTCTGGACTCGGAGAAAACCTGTTCACCTTTGCTACTTTCCTTCTTTTTCTTTCCGCTCGGGAGGCGAAGAAGCGAGAAACGTGAGGAAAATGGTCGCTCTTCGATCGTTCCGTAGCTCAGCTCGGAATGGACTCGTTCTCTTCACCGTTGCAGGGAAAGAAAGACAAGGAAACGTGGGGAGAGAAAAAAAAAAAGAAGTAAATAAGAAACGAAAGCAGCGAAACAGCGAACGAAAGACAACAAAGAGAGAGATATAAATATATATATAATATATATATTGTATATGCTT